CCTCAGAATCACAGCAACTCAAACCACCACAGCACGACAGACAGACGAGTGGTGGCCGTTTGGTTTTATGTCTATACTAGGCAGTGGAAACCCACTGATTAGGAAAGATCTTAAAATACACTGACTGAAAAGACAAAAAGAATAGCGTGTATAAAATCTGCTTTTTGTGCAAAAAAAGGAGAAAATAGTTGTATTTGCTCATATATATACATATTAGATGGGAGAAAGATTTACAGCCTCGGAAGCCCCATGTAAGGTTGCTATGAGTCAGACCCAACTCGGTAACACACAACCACCATCACCATACCCTTGTTAATGAGTCAGGGTGATGACTTGGTTAAGCACTCATCTGCTAAATGAAAAGTTGGTGATTTTAACCCATCAGCCATTCTGTGGAACAAAATTGTGGCAGTCTGCTTCTGTAAAGACTACAGAAATCCTGGTGTGGCGCTGTGGGTTAATGTGCTGGACTGCAAAGTCGGTTTGAACCGCAAGGTTGTTGGTTCAAGATCACCAGCTGCTCCTTGGAAACCCATATAAGGTCACTATGAGTCAGAACTGACTCAACAGCACTTAATAACAACACAACCCTACTTTGTCCTATGTTGTTGTTAAGTGCCATTGGGTCAATTCCAACTCATAGCGACCCTGTATAGTGTTGCCAAGGAGCACTGGAATCAACTTGATGGCAGTTGGTTTGGTTTTGGATACTATTCTTGCTATGGGAAAATGTTGCAAACACTGGGAATATATCCAGGTGAGGCTGTAAATCATACTTGGGGCCTCATGCTTCCCTTTGGTTAATTTGGCCCAGAGGATAAGGGAGTGCAGCTGCTCTTCCTGGAAGCAGGGCAGAGCCAGGTGCTGACCAACGACAAGGTTTGCTCATGGCGACATAAAGGCAACCAGAAGCCTCTACTCAGCGGACACACTTTATACAACTGACCTGCTTCCTGCACTGTGCCTCCTCCCTCCCTCCCCACTCCAGGCTCCAGTGCTCTGTGCCCTCTCCCTTTTCCCTAGAGTGTGTAATCGTCATTTATGTCTGTGTTTGGGCGCCAGTCACCCTGTGCTCTCTCCTTGGTGCCTTAAGGCCAAAGGACAGACACATGGCCTAGGAAAGAAGTCCCAGCAGAGAAGGAAACGAGGAAGAGGCCTAACCTGCGACCAGGGCTGGGGCATGAACTGGGATGGGAAGCTTTAGAAAGAAGCCAGTCACAGAAAACCCTGGATTTTGTTAGTAGAGCTCTTAGGGTGGACTTCTGGGCAGCAGAGGGGTAAAAATCTAGTGTATGTATGGCCGGCCCCTTTCCTGATATCCCTGAGAACTGTCAGTTTGATACAGACACAGAGACTCAGCTCCATGCATGGCTCTCATGAACCCCTTCACCTCTCTGGGCTTCAGTTTTTCTAAGTTAAGTCAGGTGATCTTGGCTCCCTTGTAACTCTGCCTTCAGTGGGTCCAGGTCTCCGTACAGGAGGTTTCTGTTTTGAGGGGGTTGAGCTAAGGTACGTGGGTGAGGAGGTTGGAGGGTCTTTAGCCTCCCATGCAGCCTGCTTGTCCCTCTCTCCTTCCCTCCCATGTGTTCCTAGAAGCTCTGAATGGAGTACCTCTCCCTGAGGAATTGGGCAATGTTATCCAAAGTCTTAGAGAGGCCTTACTAAACTATTAGGGGCCTGAGAGATGTGCCAATTTCTACTTCTAGCAGGAACTTTCAGAATACCCTCTTCTCAGTTTAGCTTTCCAGTAGGAAGGGGAAAACTGTGATAACCTACCTCTGGTGGTGGTTATGTGCTGTGGAGTCGGTTCCGACTCATAGCTACCCTGTAGAGGGTTTCTAAGGCTGTAAATCTTTATGGGAGCAGAAAGCCTCATTTTTCTCCCACAGAACAGCTGGTAGTTTTGAACTGCTGACCTTGAGGTTAGCAGCCCAGCTAATAACCACGATGCTACCACAGCCCCTTAACCCACCTTTACTGTAAGTTTAATAAAGCTAGTTCTTCCCCCATGTAAGTCTATGGTCTGAGTGAGAGGTTATAAGCATGGGCTGCTTGGGAGATCAAGAGCTTCTGCTCCACAGGAGGGAGGGGGGCTAGACACTGTGCTCTGGACTACACACAGCTTTGAGTCTCCTCCTGTGTCCCAGACCAGGCCACTGTACCCTTCCCTCCCCAGGCCTATCCTTTCTGGACTGTGTGCTCTGCTACTGAGGTCCCCTAATCTTTTCTTCCCTTCACACCTTACCTGCCCTGTATCTCTCACATTCTGAACCCTGTTCTCAGCTAATCTAAAATGACCTGGAATCAGGAGACGGGTTTTAGTCTTGTCATGAACTTGGGAAAAGAATTTCCCTTCTCTGAGCTATAATTTCCTCACCTGTAAAATGACTGAGAGTTGAACCAGATCCCAAATTTTCTACTAAGTCCTGGTGTAGTGCTGCAGGTTAACGTACTGAACTGCAAGGTGGCTTTGGACTGTAAGATCGGCAATTCAAGCTCACCAGCCGCTCCTAGGAAACCTATACAGGATTGCTATGACTCAACAACACTTAACAACAACAACAACAACCCTGCAGGCAGTGAAGAATGAACACAGGAGAGTCTGGGGTCCCGGTTCCAAATAGCTACAGTGCCAGTTCCACAAAATATATTCCATTAAAAAAAAAAAAACGCACGTTAAGTTTGCGTTCTACACTGTGACACTATTGTTACTGTTAGGTGCTGTTGAATTGGTTCTGACTCATAGCGACCCTATGAACAACAGCACAAAAGCCTGCCCACTCCTGCACTGTCTTTAAACTTGTTTGTTTCGTTTGAGTCTGTTGTTGCTGCCACTGTGTCAATTCCTCATGTAGGGGCTCTTCCTCTTTTTTGGTGACCCTACACAGGGTCATGATGAGTTGGAATTGACTCTACAGCACTTACCAACAAGATCAGGCCGCTTTTTAAAGTCAAGGAACAATTCCTCACCCAGAAACCCAAAGACCCAGGAGCTAGGAGAAAGATAGAAACACTTAGTTACCATTGAACCCAGAAGCAGCTCTGTGCAGGCTGGTATGCTGAGCTCTGGCCCAGGGAGGGGCTGTGTGTCTATCCCAAGGCCCTTGGATACCTTGAAGGGGACACAATCCAGGGCATTCATTCTGTCAGAGGAGTGTAGTGATGGCTGAGATGACTGAGCAAGTCTGGGGCAGGTCTCCTGATGGCAGGGAGAGTGTAGTCCTGAGGACCTGGCTTGGGCCTCAGGTAGCCTTTTATACAAATAAAAGTGTAAGGATTGGACAAAAAAAAGTATAAGGATTGGGAAAGAAGAAATACACCATTATACATGACCATCACATGTAGAAAATCCTAAAGAATCTATGGATAAAGTTATTTGAATTAGTAAGATAATTTAGAACGATCATTATATACAAGGTCAACATAAAGTTAATTGTATCTCTATATACAAACAACAAACTACATCAATGGTGTTGTTATTGTTAGGTGCCATTGAGTTGGTTCCCACCCGTACTGACCAGAACAAAACACCGCCCAGTCATGCACCATCTTCACAATGGCTGCTACACTTGAGCCTGTTGTTGCTCAACAGATTTTGTTGGGGGTCTCCTTCTTTATCACTGTCCCTCCACTTTACCAAGCATGATGACCTTCTCCAGGGACTGGTCCTCCCTAATAATATGTCCCAAGTATGAGAGATGAAGTCTGACCATCTTAACTCTAAAGAGTGTTCTAGTTGTATTTTTTCCAACATAGTTTGGTTTGTTCTTCTGGCAGTCCATGGTACCTTTAATATTATTTTCCAACATCATAACTCAAATGCACCAATTCTTCTACAGTCATCCTTATTCATTGTCCAACTGTCACATGCATATGAGGCTTCCGAAAATACCATGGCTTGGATCAGGCACACTTTAGTCCTCAAACTGACTTCTTTTCCCTTGAACACTTTAAAGAGGTCTTGTGCAGCAAATTCCCCTAATGCAATATGTCGTTTGATTTATTGACTGCTGCTTCCATAAGTGTTGATGTTGCATCCAAGTAAAATTATGTCTTTGACAACTTCAATCTTTTCTCCATTTATTATGATGTTATTTATTGATCCAGTGGTGAAGATTTTTGTTGTCTTTACATTGAGGTACAACCCATACAGAAGGCTGTGGTCTTTGATCTTCATCAGTAAGTATTTCAAGTCCTCTTCACTTTCAGCAAGGATGGTTGTATCATCTGCATATCACAGGCTGTTAATGAGTCTTCATCCAATCCTGATGCCACATTCTTCTTCATATAATCCAGTTTCTTGGATTATTTGCTCAGCATACAGATTGGATAAATATGGTGAAAAAATACAACCCTAGTGCACACATTTCCTGATTTTTAAACCATTCTGTTTGAACAATTGCCTCTTGGTCTATGTACAGCTTCTTCACGAACACAATTAAGTAATCTGAAATACTCATTCTCTGCAGTGTTGTCCATAGTTTATCATGATCCACACAGTTGAAAGCCTTTGCATCGTCAATAAAGCACAGGCAAACATTTTCTGGAGTTCTCTGTTTCCAGCTAAGATCCATCTAACCTCAGCAATGATATCTCTTATTCCACATCTTCTTCTGAATCTGACTTGAACCTGTGGCAGTTCCCTGTCAATGTACTGTTGGCAGTCATCTTTGAAATTTTATTTACATGTGATATTAACGATATTGTCTGATGATTTCCACTTTCCATTGGGTTACCTCTTTTTGGAATAGGCACAAATATGTGCCTCTTCCTATCAGTTGGCCAAGTAGTCTTCCAAATTTCTTGACAGAGATGAGAGAGGGCCTCCAGTGCTACATCCATTTGTTGAAAGATGTCAATTTGTATTCCATTAATTCCCGGTGACTGGTTCTTTGCCAATGCCTTCAGTGCACCTTGAACTTCTTCCTTCAGGACCATTGGCTCTTGATCATAGGCTACCTCTTGAAATGGTTGAACATCTACCATTCTTTTTTGGTACAGTGACTCTGGGTATTCTTTTCATCTTCTTTTGATATTTTCTGCATCACTAAAAATTTTACCCAAAGAATCCTTCAGTATTTCAAGTCAAGGCTTGAATTTTTTACTCAGTTCTTTCAACTTGAAAAATGCTGAGCATTTTCTTACCTTTTGTTTTCGAATTCTAGATCTTTGCACATTTCATTACAATAAATGATTTTGTCTTCTCCATCTGACCTTTGAAATATTCTAGTAAGCTCTTTTACCTCTTTTTTTCTCTCATCTGCTTTAGCATCTCAATGCTGTACAGCAAGTTTCAGAATCTCTTCTGACATCCATTTTGGTCTTTTCTTTCTTTCTTGTCTTCTTAATGACCTTTTTGCTTTCCTCCTGTATGATGTTCTTGATGTCATTCCAAAGTCTTCTGGTTTTCGATCACTTCCATCAAATGTGTTCTTGAGATAATCTCTAAATTCAGAGATTTATATGTTCAAGGTCATATTTTGATTCTCATGGACTTGTTTTAAGTTTCTTTAGTTTAATCCGGAACTTACATATGAGCAATTGCTGGTTGGTTCCACAGTCTACCTCTGGCCTTGTTTTGGCTGGTGATATAGTTTTTCCACTTTCTCTTTCCACAGAGGTAGTCAGTTTGATTCCTGTGTATTCCATCTGGTAAGGCCCACGTCTATAGTGATTTTTTATGTTGTTTAAAAAAGGAATTTGTAAGGAAGAAGTCATTGATATTGCAAAATTCTATCATGTGGTTTGCAGCATCATTTCTGTCACTAAGACCATGTTTTCTAACTAAGAATTCTTCTTCTAAGGAGCTCTGGTAGCATAGTGGTTTCAAGTCAGGTTGGTAACCTTAAAGTCAGCAGTTCGAAACCACCAACCATTCTGTGGGAGAAAGTTAAGACATTCTACTCCCATAAAGATTTATAGCCTCGGAAACCGTATACAGCATTGCTGAGTCAGAGCTGACTTCACTGCACATAACCACCACCACCACCAATCCTTCTTCTATGTTTCCAACCTTTGTATTCCAATCATCAGTAATTATAATTATTGGTATATAAATGGTAGACTTTAAAATTTTTATTAGAGATTGAAATTTTAAAAATATACCATTTAAATTATCATCAACTACCTATGACTATAAGGAACTCTGGTAGCATAGTGGTTACAAATCGGGCTGCGAACTGCAAGGTCAACAGTTCAAAACTACCAACTGTTCCGTGGGAGAAAGAGGAGGATTTCTGCTCCCATAAAGATGTACAGCCTCGGAAATCCTGTTCAGGGTCACTATGGGTTGGAACTGACTTGACAGCACTTAACAACAACAACAACAACCTGTGAATAAGCAGATCCCTGGTAGTGTAGTGGACTATGAACTGGGCTTCTAACATTAGGTTAGGTCAGCAGTTCGAATCTACTACTCTTTCCACAGGAGAAAGATAAAGCTTTCTGCTCCCGTAAGGATTTACAGCCTTGGAAACCTTATACAGGGTCACTAAGAGTTGGAATAAACTTGATGGCACACAACCACCACCATCATCTATGAATAAATATAATACAAGATGTATAACTCCTCTATACAATTAAACATCAGATTAAACAAATATCAGATTAATGGAGGAATAGACTATGTTCATGGATTTTAACACTCAGCCTTATAAAGATATCAGTTCTTCCCAAATTGATTTATAGATCCCAGGAATAAAAATTCCAGCTTTTTGTTTTGTTTTGTTTTTTTGTTATAAATAGGCAAACTAATTCTAAAATTTAAATAAAATGTTAAGGGGCTAGGAAACCCAAGATAACTTAACAAGTAACATAATTAGAAAGTTTATACTATCAGAGATCAAAGCTTACTTTAAAAATTACAGGAAGTATGACAGTATGGTTATCTTAGGCTGGGTTCTCTAGAGGAGCAAAGCCAGTGAAACATGTGTGTATATACATTATATACACACACATATATAAACCTGTATATATATTTATTGTTGTTAGGTGCTGTTGAGTTGGTTCCAACTCATAGTAATGCTGTATAGGGTTTCCAAGGAGTGACTGGTGAGTTTAAGCTGCTGACTGTGCAGTTAGCAGTCCAGTGCTTATCCCACAGTGCCATACCAGAACATTTATATCTATATGTATTGTTAATTGCTGTCGAGAAGGTTCCAACTCATAGTGACCTTGTATAGGGTTTCCAAGGAACAGCTGATGAATTTGAAACACCAACCTTGTGTTTCAAACAACTTTGCAGTCCAGTGCTTGTCCTATGGCAGCACACCAAGACTACTGTCTATATATACATATATGCACATACATATATACATGCATGCACACATAGAGAAATTTATTTATTTCAAGGAAATGGCTCCTGTAATCGTAGAAGTTGATAAGTCCCAATCCATGGATCAGGCTAGAGGCTTCGCCTAACTCACATGGTTGCATGGGCTAATGAACCCCAAATCAGATCAGATGGCAGGTTGTTGACTCACAGGATTTCAGGAACTGGAGAATCCCAAAATCTGGAGGTCAGGTGGCAACTGCTGGCTCACATTGCAAGAATCAGATGCCAGAGGATGATGAGTCAGATGCAGGATGGAGAAAGAGCAAGAGATTTGCCAGAACATCCATATGTATGGTAGACCATACCTCAAAGGAAACTCCCCTTCCATTAGATCACAAGATGGAGAATAACTAAATAATACAAAAACTCATGGCCTAGCCAAGCTGACACAACTTTATCCATCACAGTGGTACTGCCAGGAGGACTAGTAGAGACCAAGAAACAGAAAGGCCAGAAACAGACCACACATATATGCAGCTTTAATTTAGGACAGAATTAGACCTGCAGAACAAGGATGGCGTTTTCAGTCAATAGTTCTGGGAGAGAAAGTGGGATGAGTGATGTGGGGATTGCAATCAGTGTCATGAAACAAACTGTTGAGTGGAAAACTAACTTCCTCTGTAAACTTTCACCCAAATCACAATAAAAGAGTTAAAGTAAATAAATAAATGGTTCTGGGTCAATTAGATCTAGGGCATGGGGAATGCAATCTTGACTTCTACTTCACATCATACACACACAAAAATCAATTCCAGATAGACAGGAGATCTAGATGTGATGTTGCTGCCCCTGAAACAGGCAAACATTTC